TGAAAGCATCTAATGTTCTATGGAGGGTTAAGAAGTCATTCCTCAATCCCGCTTTCATCAACTAGATGGCTATGAATATATCTGCCGCGGACGGATAAACGTCTCCGCTATATTCTATAAACGATATCAAACTAGTTTCTGAGTGGCGATGCATATCTGATCAGTTGGTGTTGCCTAAATCTTGGAGAGAGATGGTGAAGCCTAGAAATCCTAGCCCGGATCTGGATCATCTCAATGTTGGATGCACAACGAGACGCGTGAATAATGTGTTCGTGGCACCACAACCAAGAGAGCTAACAGGACGCAGCCACTTGAAAGGCAACCTTCGTCGGTACTGTAAGATGAGCAAAGAGTGGCCCGCGTTTTCGTGTCACCTTTGGTGGACCGTTAGGTATACTATAGTAGCTATCTATATTCAGTGATATGGAAGACATACCTTAGTGAACGAGTTTACCGATCGTTGAGATTTCATTTGTACTGGTGCTGCAGCTGCTTTAACTCCAGACCTTTAAAAATTTGCGAGGATGAGGCATTTTTACCCTTTGCAGCACTCTTTTTCCAAAGTCACCTTGTCGTGGGATCGATAGGTAATCGATACCTGTGATTGCAGTCTCATAAAGACACGAGGGGCTGTACTTTGAACGATAAGGATGTTTTGTTTCTAACCGCGATATCTACGTTGTGCTTTCTACATTGCAAAGTCAAGCATGGATCAACGCTTTAGTCAAAAGTCCGCTTCGCTGAAGCTGGATCGTCAAGCCCCGATACAGGTGAGACAAAGCGGTTTACTCAACGGCACGCTTTCCAAATATTGCACCCAAGATATACTTTCTATCACGGGCTTGCTTTTCATCAACACTGCTGCTCAATGCGCAGGCGGTACACCTGATGCAAAATTTCTTATGGGATTCGAAAGCATTGTGGAGCAACTTTTCGACATTCGGCTCTAATTTACCAGCAGTAGTTCTGCGCGCCTAGGCGTGCTGGGATTCCGCCCAAAGCGGTGAGATAACAAACGATTCAGTAATTACGACGCGATGATCTAAGCAAGAGTCGGCGAGATTCTTACGCTTGTAGTTGATCAGGCTGTGCACCATGACCGGGTTCGAATCGTTGGTGATCTGACCATTGCCGTGATTCCAGAGCAAAAAGGCTCACAATTCCCGGCCGAAGAAGGGGGCATGAACTATACAATTAATGCATGAAGAAGGCAAAGCGGGGTAAACGTCTTCTTCTCGGTAAATAGGACTTGTGTCGTCGAGTAAAGCTGGGGTGTATGGTCAGCACGTGTAAAGCAACCGAGACCGTCGGCATTGGAAAAATTTTCGGCATCCCTCGTCCAAAATTGTGCGAAAAGCATCGACCGCGGAGCCGCGCTATTTACGAAGGTTCTAAAGCATTTTGCTTGAGTCCATCAGAGAAAACACTAAGTTGTTCAGAGCAGGCTTGGCATAGTGCAAAAGAGCAAGGTAGACCCCGAGCATCGTAGTCTACATTCTAAAATTGACATATGTAGTGTGAGCCCTTCTATAGTTAGCGTCATTGTGGAAGGGAGTGTAACTTGGTTATTACTGTAATCTTGCGCACTGACATCCTACACATTTGGTTCAATTATATCAAATACAAAACTGAATAGCTCTACGTAGTTTCGTTGCACTTATGCGAAATTATTGTTATTGCTGAGCACCAGCGTATCGGCAATGGCAAAGATGTTGGTAATTCAGGGAGAGAGGCTTGTAGTATACGTGGGCTGCTAGCCGTATATCGAGCCAAAACGACAATTTTACGTTAACATATGAAAACTTATAATATTGATTTTTGTCTCGATTCAATAATTTCTGCACAAATGCTACTCTCGTAATCGCAGACCTCTGAAAGCTTGGTAACACGTACTCGCTTGGAAAACGTTTTCCAGGCGCCGTGCACAACAATCTCTTTGCCCAACAGATACAATTCTTTGAAGGCTTGTGATTAGAAAATTTAAAATTGCTTAGTCAATACCTGTTTAGATAGATCATTGGACATCCCCCTTGAACGACATTTTACGCTGATTTAACAAAGTTGGAGGCAAGACAGGAAGTCGAGGAGACAACTCGTCACCCCAGTTCCCAGCCTTGACGTTCCTACTAGTCTGCTTTAGATCTCTAAACGAGCTATCTACCAAGAGACTTTCCACCGCGAAGTCAGTCACTCTCTATTAGCGGCACAACGATAAGACGGGTGGATCTGCCATTACTCCAAGCATGCATGAGACAAAGGAAACGCCATGTCGAAAGAGTCCACGGCAACAGTGCAATCTTGAAAGCCTGAAATCTCAATTTTCGGACTGAGGGTGACGCTTTCACTCGCCAAATATTGGCTCCAGCCCGCCTCTAGCTCATATAGCGGCGCCAGCTGAATTGCTTGGGCACGTGTGCTCTCTGAAGTGTGGCGGCACGACGCGTCTGTCCAAGCGTCTCGTTGTGCATCTAACATCGAGATGATCCAGATCCGGGCTAAGAATTCTAGGCTTCACCATCACTCTCCAAGATTTAGGCAACACCAACTGATCAGATATGCATCGCCACTCAGAAACTAGTTTGATATCATTTATAGAATATAGCGGAGACGTTTATCCGTTCGCGGCAGATATATTCATAGTCATCTAGCTGATGAAAGCGGGATTGAGGAATGACTTCATAACCCTCCATAAAACATTAGATGCTTTCCCATTTACTCTTAGCAATCCTGGGTATAACAAAATTCACTTTTTACTACGACTGTGAGC